TTATTTTCATTTAACTTAGGCTTTTACACGAGTCTTGAGTTGGTGGTCTTGTCTGAGACTATACGACTGTTTCTGAACTTCGTAATCGAGCAGATTAGCCGTTCGGAGTCTTTCAACTGTTCAGCTAATAAATGAGAATTGAATCTGAAGAAGACCGAGCACGAGTATTTCTGGTGCTTTTTCCGAAGTCAAATATATTGGCATGGACTATCATGGAGGTTAGTTGCCTTTAACATCGAATTCCTTACAGAGTTAATGGCCATTCTGTCAGGTGTATTAAAAATAATCATGTTAACACGAACGATCATTCGCTTAGTAACTTTGCTAGCGATAGAATCTGTAACAGATTCTACTTTGATAATGTTTCCAAGTCCCGCAGGAACTATATCCCTTGACATTAACAGTTTGAGGGGCGATAGTGACTTTAGTTATTGCATAAGATCATCATGCTTTGATAAAGAGCTAGAAAGTAACACCACTTTAGAACGCATATAGCTTAATTACTCATAGATAGTGTCTAATTCATTATTAATATTATCGATGCGGGGAGACTATAATTTGTGAACAAACCAATCACATGTAAGATAACAGGGTTTGGATTTTGGCGCGAAATTCACTCATCCATTTGGAAAAACAGTTTTTAGTAAACGGAATACTATCAATAAGACATTAAATAAGAGAGATTAGTTCAGCGAAGAGTTCTCTTTTCGGCGAATTCATTTTCGAGGCTTTAGAACCGCAAATATATATACTTGTTTTTACAGGATGATATTAATACTGATAATAAATTTCCGTTATACATGACGACAGTGAGCTTACATAGACAAAGTTAATGAAAAGTTTATAAAAAAAGGAAAGTTTAATGATAGTTATGGCATTGTAGCTGATGTCAGTTCGTGATGAAAACCCTAAATTTTCATTATAATTCCTTACACAGGTTTATAACCCTCATTTGGTCCTGGTTATTAAGTGGTCACTCTCAAGGTCAGTCTGTAGTTGCTGAAAGGTCGTTCACAAATTATAGTCTCCAAAATCGATACTTTTTGATTTTGGGGTGGGACTAATTTACAAGTCAGAAGCTGACTAATCCAGCAGCAGGTGTGGCATAAGACCATCTTCAAAATCATCTGATTCAAAAGGAGTTGCAGAGCATGGGGAATAGGTAATGACAGAATTGTTATTATCCAAAAACTTACGGTTTTTTCGAGCTCAATTTTTGTCAGGCAACGCATTTTGGCTTATGTTTTAGTTCTAATGCTATTTATGAGTTATACTCTAGGATTCAACGATATTTAAACATTTTATATTAGATACCGTGCTATTGTAACGCTAAGTTCGAAAGTACAGCGACAGTACTATTAATCCTTTTTATGTATGCTTCCAAGTACCGACTCAATATGTTCCTTGACCTTCCAATTTTCCACTTCTCTTCATTATTCCAAGTCAGCGCTTGCCTCGTGATGCAGTTTGATGGTTTCTTTAATGAGTGTACTATCCATTTCCATCGTATTTTCCTAATTTTCTCCTCAGCTGGAAGCTGACTTGTTTTCTCCCACAGAAGGCTCCTGCTGATGATATCCGACCAACGGACATTGAGTATCTTACACAGACAATTGTTTATAAAGACTAGTACATTTTCGATGATGGTTGTGGTAGTTCACCAAGTTTCAGCTTCATACATTAGAACAGTCTTGACGTTCGTATTGAGGATTCTAACTTTGATATTGGTTGACAGTTGTTTTGAGTCCCATATGTTCTCCAACTGTGGGAATGCTGTTCATACTTTGTCAATCCTCACATTTACGTCTGCGTCTGATTCTCCTTGTTTATCGATGATGCAGTTCAGGTACATGGAAGAATCGTTATCTTCCAGAGTTGGTGTGCTTCATGTTTTATAAGAGAATCTTACCTTTCCTCTGTGTATGTTGAGAATTACTGCCACTGAGGTTGCTGCTACACTGGTCATCTTCTTCTCCATTTGTTGTTGCGTGTGCGATAGAAGAGCCAGATCATTCGCGATGTCCAGATCGTCCAGCTGCATCCTAGCAGTCCACTGTATCCCATTCTTCCCTTCAGATGTTGACGTCTTCATGATGCAGTAGATCACCAGGAGAAAAAGAAAGTTTGAGAGTGTGCAACATTGCCTGACACCGATCTTTACCTCGAACGAGTCTGTGATCTGTCGTCCATGCATGACTTTGCAGTTTAATCCATCATGGGAATTCCGTATGACATTGTCTATTTTCTCAAGGACTCCGTAGTGTCGAAGAAGCCTCCATAGTGTTGTCCTGCCGATGCTATCACATGCTTTCTCGTAGTCAATGAGATTGATGTAGTGTGACGAGTTCCACTCAATTGGCTGTTCAACGATGATCCGTAGTGTCGTAATTTTGTCTGTGCACGACCCATCATTCCGGAATCCAGCCTGTTGGTCTCGAAGTTGGGAGTCTACTGCGTCTTTCAAACGGTTCAGCAACACTCTGCTGAAAACCTCTCCTGGTACTGACGATAGTGTGATGCCTCTGTAGTTCTCACATTTGCTCAGATCTCCTTTCGTTGGTATCTTGATGAGGTATCCTCGCTTTCAGTCCATCGGCACTTGTTCTTCCTCTCAAATATTCCTGAATAGAATGTGCAGCATGTTTGTAGTTACATCGATGTCTGACTTCAGCTACTATATTGTCAGGTCCTGCTGCTTTCCCGCTCTTGATTTTTCTGGTGACCATCCCGATTTCTTCGATCTCTGGTGAAGTGACATCTATAAGAAGGTCTGTAGGTGTTGCATCGATATATGATGAATTCAGTGAGGCTGATCTATTCAAGAGTTCCTCGAAGTGTCCTGTCCACCTGTTCCGCTGTTCTTGAATTTCAGTGATTGACTTGCCTTCTTTGTCCGTGCCCGGTCTCTCTGGTTTACTATATTTCCCTGCCAGTTTCTTCGTCGTGTCATATAGTTGTTTTATATCTCCTTCTCTTGTAGCTCTTCCACGCATTGCTAATTATCGACTCTAATGATCCTCTTTACTTGCTCGTTTGCTTCTGTGTATTCAGCTTGTGCATTGACTTTCTCTGTTCTTGTTCATCTGATGTCAATCACTTTCTTCTTGTGCCCCATTTCTTGAATTCAAAACAGGGTTTCCATAGTGATCCACTCATTATGATGATGCTTCTTGCGACCCAGAACCTCCTGACACGTTGAAATTAGAGCTACTTTGATCCCTTTCCAGTTGTCCTCCATAGTAATTTCTTCTTCTACTTCTTCTTCCAGTAGATGCTGTCAGGATTGGAACCTGTTGTTGAAAGTTATGTTGAATTCGTTGAGTTTGCCAGCATGTCAAAGGAAGGCTGTATTGAATCTTTAAACTGCTGTTTGTCCAGTTGCCCATCGCTTCTTTAGCTCCAGTTTCATATTGGCAACCACCAGTTGGTGGTGATCTGAATGTGTGTCAGCTTCTCTCCTACTTCTCACGTCTTCCATAGACCTTGTGAATGTTTTACTGATGCAAATATGGTCTATTTGGTTTCGTGGTGTGGTCCGGTTAGATTCACGTAGCTTTGTGTAAGAGTTTGTGTGGAAATATTCTCGTTTCTCCTAGTCCATGTCTTCCCATGGTATCTTCATACCCGGTGTTGTCCATTCCGACTTTGGCGTTTAGATCTCACATCAGGATGGTCAGGTCCTTCCCTGGGCACTTCGCTGTGATCGATTGCAGCCCCGAGTAGATCTGATCTTTATCTACGTCATTGCTATCATTGGTGGGTGAATAACACATGATAACATTCATTGTGATTCGCTCCTTTTTTGTTTTGAAGGATGCTTGATGATCCTTGGTCCATGGGACTCCCATCCAATAAATGCATTTCGTGCTTCTTTGGACAGCATAAGAACAAATCCCTGAGTGTGTGTAGTATTTTCTTCTTCTTCGTAACCGGAGTACAGTAGTACCTCTCTCAAATCTATCCTTTGCTGTCCAGCTTGGGTTCAATGGGTTTCGCTGGTTCTGAGAACCACCAAGTTATATCTCATCATTTCCGTTGTTGTGAGACTGATCCTCCCGGTCTCCCAAGTTGTCCGATATTCCATGTACCTATAAAAATGTTTGCTCTGGTTTTTAGGGGGCATCGGGCTCGTGACATCTGAAGAATCTCGGCTTTCATCATGAGGCGTTACAATTCTTCCTTCAACTTCTAGGACAGAGTTTAAATAGTTTAGCGTGTTTATTCTGGTTAGTGTTTTTTAATAAGATTGAATTCCGAAAAATTTTGGCTTCCACCATGAGGCGTCATAATTCTTCTGAAAGATTCTTCAACTCCCAGGTCAGATTTTAAATGGTATAAATTGTTTATTCTGCTTAGCGTTTTTTAGCAAGGTTGTTTCTTAAGGGACTGTGTTGCCAACTCCACATACAATCATGCACCTTTAAAGTTAGGTATGGTATCCTCTTCAGACCTGCATTATCTCTTGAAGAGCTACAGGCGGAAACGCAACTCTCAAAACCACTAGCTAGATTAGGTCAAATGATTTCCGATAGCTTTGCAAATATAATTCGGAACCTCTTCTCTGGATGTATGACACGACGTCCACCTCAACAAAGATCATTACCCCATGTTAAGCGTACTGCATCTCTGCGTAAAAAATCTGGGTGATAAGGGTGAATCGATCACAAAGGTGTAGGTGTATACACTCTTCGTTTTCGTTTAAACTGTGAGATTAAAATTACTTTATATCTTTCTTTCTACGAATTAGTTTTTTCTTGCTGTACTTTATCCTTATACACAATCTTTCATATATTACTACCAGTGAAGTAACTACTTCTATGGATTCGGTGTTCATCTTGTTGTGCTAATGAGGTGCTGCAACTTGCACCGATGCATATATATGCCTGGCCGTACGTTGTAGTTTTCTGATCGATTATTTATTGAATCGTCTTTTGGTATGGGGAGTATATAAAACAGCTCAAGACTTCACAACAGTAAATGAGATTTTATATGTGCGTACACAGAAAGTCATTACTGGTTAAGTATAGATTATTTTGATCACTAAATATATTTATTAGTCTATCAAAAATTTTATTTAAAGTAGTATTTGTAACGATGATTGGGAATATCTGAGTAAGTATTCAGAACGAATATTTTCTTGTTTCATATATATCACATAATTGTAAAAGTATGCACAATTAGAATACAAATTATTAGGACGGGTGATACTCAACAACAATACAAAAGGCAAATAAAAATGACGTTTTCTATAAATTGTCTACCAGTTTTATCTTGATTGATAGTTGAATAGATCGAGGAACAATGATTTAAAAAAGGAAGAGAAATGTGATAAGTATCGATCTAATAGTACAAAAGTAGACAAGCAAATGGTAAATTAAACAAGAGACTGTACACAAAATGTTGAGCATTTTAGGCGGTCCCATAAGAAGAATTGTGAAGCAGATTTGCCAAAACCATGACTAGAAATCATTTCATATATCTCAGATGAATTTAAATTTACAGGGTGGAATGTGTAAACTTTTTTTAAATGCATTGGTACATGCAATAACTTTTTAAGTATTATTCCCAGGTAGACATCATCAAACCGAAGATATTTTGTATAACGCATAGCTACATTTAATTCACGTGCCAAATCCATTGATAAAAAGAAGTTACCTCCTGCCACATATGGAGGATAGTAACGTGGAGCATATTCTTTATCATCAACCAACCACTTTTCGTGACTACCAATATTCTTACGAACTGGTCCTGCATTATACCAGACATAACCACTGATCAAAAGTTTACGCAGCTCTGTGCTTAAACCTTCAATATAAGCAACCACATTTTTTGGATAGATAAAATAATCATCATCAACAAACATAATAATTGGGACATTTGAACAATATTTTACTGCCCAATTAATGCCAAACATAATTTTATATGTACTATTATAATAGTGATCGAGAAAATCTTGTTGAATTATATCATGATATGCATAAGATTCATTTTTTAATATGTATTTTAAACGTTCATTATTAGATGGGACATTACCAAGAAGGAAAAGATGGATGACACGACGTCCACCCCAACAAAGATCATTGCCCCATGTTAAGCGTATTGCATCTCTGCGTAGAAAATTTGATGGGGCAGATTTGATGAGAATTATTAGTTCTGGAGCTCCTCCTGTTTCTAATAGAATGTTTCTACATTTTTGATGCTCACTCATAAGTATTGGAAATTTTGGGTCATTTATTGGACGAGATGTTACAGTCAAGTTTGAAAGAACCTGTCCAACTAGTTTTGGCATATCTATCATCATTGGATACTCCAAATCATCAGAACCAGAAGAAAAGACAGGATTTATGAATATCCGATGTGTGTTATTAGATGTTGACAAATTGTATTGTTCTTTTGAAAAAGTAGGATCAAAACTCCAGTCACGAGTTAATGTGATATTTCCAGGGATCATGTTTACATAAGCTATATCAATTGACTTAGGAACATTCTTGGCTACAGATGAGTAATTATATATGATGATTACTAGTTGAAGTATTAACGTGACAGTGAACAGCGTAGCAGCAACTGTTACTACACTTAATCTGCACGTTCGAATCCTAATATGACTCATTATGATCCTATATATAAAAAATAACAGGGGTTTGGTAAATTAACAGCTTGAAGTAAATGGGAATAGATCATTAGCAGTTCGAAAGACAGACAACTTGTTACCAGGTATGACCTTAATTTTTTCGGTTCATTGCTGTGAAATGTACGCATAGTGTGAATAATGAAGTGGTAGCTTAATGGTTAGAGCACCTGGCTTTTAACCGTTAGTCTATAGGTTATAATTCAATATACCGATTTCCTTTTGGATATCTAAGTAATATTGTTGCTGCTCACACTCAAATATAGTGAAGTACATAAACTAGCACTTGATAAATAGGTCACAATGTTATGCTGCAAATAAAACTGATTATTGATATGAAGCGGAAAAGGGCAATATTATTAATGGGTTTGACATGATAATCGTTTGGTTTAACATTTGATAATTTCAGTGCGTTATTCTATTGTATTCTGATAATTCCTGTCACGCATTCACTCGGTTTTCAAATTTGTTCAACATGAACTTAAATTTGCCTTTAAGTAACAAATGTTTAAAAGTAATCAATAACCACTGAGAAAATTTATATATAAAGAGTGGTTGTTTTTCCACAAAATATATTCTCCGAAGTTGTAGGATAGAGTTGCTTTCCTTTTGCCTTTCCAATAGCTATCGCCTAGGTTATGGACATCAGGGGCAGTATTAAAGAGAAATCCTATGTATTTACTGATCAAGTCAAATGTTGAGTTACTATTGCATTAATCTTTGAAATTACGTAGTAGCAAGTAGAATATAGCTATTGTCCTATTACATTTGAGTCAACTTAGGAGTTATGAATTCGCCAGGGTGAATCTCCGGGGTAATAGGAATTAAGGAGCAAAGACACGAAAACAGAACACGGTTGTTCCTTAGAACTTAAGGATCTTATTTTCTTAATTTGATTGCCTTTTAAGAACTTCATGTCAAACTTTATATACTTACATCGCAAACTAATCTTTATTGGATTTCTGCGACTTACACCACTACACTTAGTGTGCTTTCAGAAGCACCACATTCAGTTAAGAGCTACGAAAGAAGTGTTTTTTACAGTACTATATAGTGAATAAATTAGTGACTCACTAAATAATGATATGAAATCCAAACCTCTACTAACTTAGAGCACACTTAATTTTAACGGTGGTCTAGTGGTTGAAACAATAATCTTTCAACGGAAAAGTTGCAGGTTCAAACCTTTTTCTACCTGATTTAACCTAGACAGCAAGGTGATATCAGTAGCATAAACGCAAAATGAACAGATTAAACTGTAGGACGTTTGCCCTAGCCACTAATATTCGAGAATATAAATAAGCAATAAAAAGTTAAATTTCCGCTACCACAAACGATGATGAAATCGAAAATGTATGACTTTATATGATACTTTGGAGTAACTTTCAAAATTAACAACAAATTGGGTAACCGTAATGAGTCATAATTTAGTAGCTATTAACGTTTGCAATTTTGAAGTAATGCTTTAAATTTTTTGATTTAGTGCTTAACGAGAAAACATTTCTTAGCAAATACTATTGTCAGCAAAATTTCCATGTAGGTATACGAAAGTGAGAAACGGAAAAAGTAATTTCATTCTTTATGATTTTTTACACAACAGCTGGTCACATCAGAAAGAATGATGTGCAGTAGATGGACAAAATAAATGTCAACCCTTTATAAATCAGGAAAGTATGAGTACTACTAAGTGTTGAAGCACAAATACTAAAGTTCTAACCAAATAGGATTTCACCTACAAGAGTGACTGAAAGTTAGAAACCGCTGTTTTGATCCAATATATTGAGTTGGTAGGGTTGTTTTGACTGGTATGGTATCCCACCACTGATTTTGACATTCTAATTTTTCTTAAATTGGGAATATTATTGATGACAGTGGAAAACTACACACAAAATATGGGTTTAAAAGTACAGACAAAGTCTAACAATGGGAAATATTGAACGATACCAAGTACAAATAAGAAATGAATGGGTTTTTGCCACAGGGACTAATTTTGAGCCGTTTCATGTCGTCTTCGATCAACCGATTTGACGTTTTCAACAAGCACTCTACGTCTATCGTGAGCAGTACTCATGCGACGAAATCATATACGATCTTGTGGCCAGTTTTGATACGAACTATTTTGGGATTATGATAAATACGCTTATGATTTAAGTCAATTGAGTGCGTAGATAAATTTTTACATTAAGATTGGAGGTGAAATAAGTTAGTGCTAAATGAAACGCCACTGACCTTTATAATCCCACCCAGAACAACAATGATCGATGTTGTCAGCACGGCTATTCATTGCTTTTTATTCTAAACGGCTGGAGATAAACTCAACTCCGGTTCGTAATTTCGGTAGTCAACTTAGCGACCAATCAGGATGAAGCGGGAACCACCATTCCCGCCATCTTTGTATGTAATGGCGGTTAGCTTGCCTCGTCCTATTGTTACATTAGCAACACAGTTGGATAGAAACGACCTTTGGTTTGAAATTATTGGTTAACTGATTGGTTCGATCAGTACATTTAATTGGGCAGTTGCAGTTAGTTAGAAACTAATTGAGCTAAGAATATACACGCATCTCATCGGGAGACTTACACCAACGGCAATTTCAGTCAATTGATTGAGTTGCCCATTACACTATGTTTTTTCGCTGACGTTTTGGTGTTAATGCAACATTTAGCCCTTTAGTGTGCCGAAATTCCGTATTTTATGTGATCCTCTAAATGTTGACGCCAATGTTTTTCAACCAGTTTTGTTTTCCCGGCCTTTTCTACTGCTTTCCAGGTCGGTGTATGCTTCCTGACATACTTACGTGCTTTATGTGGCGAAATGTCAAACCATTTTGACTTAAATACCTTTTGTAGATATCATACACTAGCGTCAGCCTATTTTGCTAAATTCAATGTTGCTGCCACGTGGGATTTTCTAACTTTCAGAATATTTGTTTCTAAGTGTTATTTATGATTTTACCGGGGATCATGAGAGAAAACGTACTTTGATCTTTTATTTTCCCTAATATTATGGTGTCCTACTTTCTGGGACCTGGGACCAAGTCAAAATAACCATGACTATTATTAAGCTTCCTACAACTTAGAATATCATTCTAGCATACAATACACGTGTCCGGTATGAGGTAGTCCAACACGGTGAATAAAAATTACAGTTACAGCAAAATTCACAGGATAATATAGTTTTTTAATAAAAATCACGCTACAGTATGGCGAGCTCATTGACTGAGTGAACGTAGATATGACCGTTATTCCTACCTACCATACACTTTGTTGTCTTAAAATCATTGATTACATTTTCTTCTTTTCTCTGATTCGCTTTAGCCACGATCTCGTTTCAGGTGCAATTTTTATCGTGTTACGTGATGCACGTTACCCTTTTTAATAATGTCTTTTACTATCTTGAGGTGGTCATGCACTGTTCTGACACACCACTCCCCTGACTTTAAGGCGTGTCCACGATGCCTCTCATGGTTATGCGGTTCACTTTAGTGAACCAAATGTGAGGAGGATTCTTGTCTCACTGAAGTAAATAATTTGTAACCACTTTAAAATGTGATTTTCTATGAGCACTATTCTCTATTGGTGCTTTGAAATGGACATCTTCGGTTAAAAGCAAACGATTTATTAGAAGGTCGTCATATTTTGAATGATTTCCGTCCTCACCACATCTTGGGTTGTCATTTACGTGTTTAGTCGGTCTGGAAATTTTGATGGATGTGATAAATCGTTTATAAAACCAGTCTTTGTAATTTGCTTGAAACCTGGGGACTGTGTGTGTTGAAGTCACCAGATAGGAGTATCCGACTGAACCAATTGGATTATTCTGTCTTTCTGAGTTTTGGAACCTGTAAGTTTCTGGTATAATCCTCCAATGAGAGACTTTTGACGTTCGCATTGAATCAAAATTAACATGGTTCTCTCACCCCTATTAATTCCGTATTGTGTGATATTACGGCTCTTACAGTCCACATCTTGTTGTGTCTAACTTGGATTGAAAAGAACTGTTTAGCCGATGGTTCCCGAGATGTCGCCAATATTTCTTTTGTTACGTGTGCTTAATTTAGAGTTACTCTAAATGGAGGGGTTCACTTTTCGTAACATTCTGGCCCTTATACAGGCAATACAGTTTCGCTCAAGTGGTACTCATTCCAAGCATCGTGCTGTATTTGTCTAACAGTTCTTTATCAAAGACTGTCCCAATCTTTTGTGAGTCAACCTCCAACACTGGAACATCAAATAACATCACAAAGTTTTGTCTAAAGTCTTTGTCCTCAATATATAGTTTTCTGGATACCATGCTGTTTCCATTTTCCCTTCTAACATACACAAATTGCTCCTCACTATTAACCGAGACTGAGGTAATGGGTTGTGGCCCCCATAGTCGCGTGTTTGGTTGAGCCTATTTTAAGTGAATCATGTATACTGATGGGGATTAGTACGATAGTTTTCAGTGAGGTCTTATGATCCTCTCCTGTTAGTTCCGTCGGTGGCTTAACAAGAACCCATAGTGATGCTTAGAGACAATGGACTCAGTCACTACAGAAATCACATTCAAATGCTGGGTCACTGGTTTTAAAGACACTCAAACATGCGATACAATTAACACTTCTGTACCGCCACTATTTTCTACAATACCCTGATTTACAAGGTGTTAGGGACACTTTCCGTATTTCTTTTTTGTTTACTAGTCTTATTAAAAGTAGGAATCTGGATAGGAGTGTAATCCTAGTTACTTAGTTGGAGACTCAGTTTTGGTGTTTGAGTCGAGGTTCATTAACTACTATCGTCTTGAGCTTTCATATAGTCCTGTTGCGAGATGCAGAAATTTTGCACTTAATACTGACCCCTGAACTAAGACTTTTACTAGTCGTCCTTGTAGTTATAGTGTAAGTGCTGATGTCAACGCTATTAGTGTTCCTGTCACTCGATTGACAAAAAAGAGTAGAATGTGAGAATTGAAGGAGGAAGTATATATGATGAATGTTTCGAAAGAGAAATATAATCGAAATAAGTGAATATATACTACAAGAGAATAGAACCTGAAAGACGCTTAAAACTGCAACTTTAAAAATGACCATCCTGGTAAACAACTCGTGTGTTCAATAACTTTTCCACAAATTCTGTGCTTGCGAGTGAGTGAATGTTTGTATGTTGCAGTTGAAGCAACCAAGAAGAGAACAATTGATTGTGATAGCTAGATTTACCGTTCAGTGATTCAACTTTGGTATGATTATGGTTGTCAGTTTGTTATTGCGGTTATTGTGTGGAAGACTGAGTTGACCTCTTTTAAAATGGTTAAATATGGCAATCTGGTGGTGGAAACTGTTGGTTTTCAGCTATCTCTGGAAGATTATTGAAGTCATGTTAGATCCAGTTTTCTTCATTTTTCGGAAACTGGTAAGTCATCCACGTAACTACAGGTTTTAAGTTTTTTTGCTACAATCTTCGATTTCTCAAATTACAGTAATGTGATAGAAAATCTGCATAGATATCGTGTTTCAAATATGCTGATTTTAGTAGATTTATATTGAGGTTTTCATGTTTCCGTTTCTTCCGAATGCACAGAACTTGAGTTCATGTTTTAGATTATTGTATGGCCCTCAATAAGTCACGTTTTGGAATTGTTTTAGTGAATTACAACGTATAAAGATTTGATTAATATAAAGAAGGGCGTTTGTAAGCCAGCTCATGAAGCGGGTCAAATCTATATTCAGTAAATGGAGTAAGAGATCGCCAAATTCTCCCGGACGTCAAAGAGTGTTTCCATGAGGTTTGAAGTGAAAACATCCATCACCAGCCTTATTGCAAAATTATCTTATTATACAGTGTATGACTAGAGGTTCCCTGTTTCATTTTCTACAACTCAATTCACCAGGCCGTAATCGTCGCGGGGAGAGTGATAAGGGTTGTCAAGCATTATCTATTCGATGTTAGTATACTGCACTGATTTCTGAATTGAATTCACCTGCAGCAACACTAACATGTAATTTATGGTTAATTTACTCAAACATCATTGATTCGGAGATCATTAATTTTACCGTATTGAATGCTTGCATTATACTATCGCTAATTCGTATGATTATGACTGCCAAAATGTTGATCAGCTAATGGTCTCATATGAGGCACCCACTGCGGTATGGCTATTTTGAGGATATCTCCGTTAGTTATAAGGTTTTTTGTGCCTTTTGCATCAGTTTCATTCCTGAGAATGAAATCATAACTTTCCAGGTAGTCATTTGGAATAGTGAATACCAGGTGTGGGGAAACATTCGAAGTCGGTTTGTGCGTTAAATTATCTATAGCTAGGGGTTAGATATTAGGATTTTGATTGACCCATAATGATAAACCCCTTTAAAATTTAATTTGTACTTTTGTGCTAATTACAAATAGCCTGAACCTGATGTGCATCCTATATCTAATGCTTGATCTAAAATGTAATGTTTTTAAGAATGTTTAATCATAAATGCATTTTCTTAACCCAATACATACTTGGAAACCTTTTGCAAAACTGTCTCTTCCCATGGTACCGTTGGCCAAAATGAAGCTTAAAATCATTATAATTTGGTGTTAGTTATATAATCTATTATTTTTTATGTTATCTCAGTTATTTTTATTAGTTTCCTTCAACATAGATAGCTAATCAGCGGTGAAAGTTAACCTTACTCTTTAAATAATATTTGGTCAAGTCAATTTGAAGTCAAGAAGATCATATTGTATGATGACAGTTAAAATCAACCCTATAGTTGAACCTTATATATTGACAAAAAAGACTACAAAACTACTTTTCTAGGAATATTTTTTTTCGGATGCTTACCAAACTTATCTCTTCACCTGGATCCATCCATTGTTATTATTGTTGGTTCACATATGAAGCTTGGTTTCTGTATGAGAAATACATTGGTGATATGTTATTGAGTAATTTTCCCTCATATATGTATGGATATATTTATTAAATCCAGTAATGAACTAAAAACAAACGAAATTAAATGTGTACAGATTCGGTCAGTTTCATTTCATTCACTTTGCTCCTAATGAATGAACTAAATGATCATATATTATTCGAAGATTTCATTGTGAATTTACAAGTGTGTTATTTAGTTCTCTGTGTAATAAAAGGTCTCATATTTATTGATATTTTTAGATTTTCAAAATCAATATAACTAACTTTCTAAAATTGGGAGTGGCTAATATTTCTCCTCCTCCTGTTTCTCTCAGACACATACGCACACACACTTTTTTCTGTCTTCATTTTGAAGTAACGAACGTGAAAATTGCCAGAGGGGAAATTTAATTGAAAAGAATGAAAATAATAAGACGACACTAAGTCAAGAGAAAAATTACAAAATATATCAGTCTTTGAATGGAAATATATTTGCGGAGAATATGAATTATGTTAAATTCAAAACACGTTGAATAAATACATATCAGATCACTTTCCTTTTAAGAAATAAAAGAAAGTATAATAAACGATGGCTGTCGACACAAAAAATGATGAACATTATAAAAGTCAGAAAAGTATGTAAAACATTTAAATTTTCTATCCCTTTCA